TTAGACCTTCAAAATATTTTTACAGGGATGATTACATTAAAATATAAACAAATCAACCATTTCTGTCTGGCAATTAAAAATGGTGAGGACTGCACTGGAATAGAAAGCTTGGCAAGATATGATAAAACACTGGGGGGACTGTCAAATTTCTGCGGAAGTATCTCAACCTTTGTGCGAGAGTCTTGGGTCCTTCTCCCAGCTTGAAAGGGGTCCCAGACGGTCTCAATGGAGTTCACTTTGCTCGGAGTATGTTGCTGGATGGCCAATTCCTTTGATTGGTGGAGGTCAATAATTAATTTTGCATTTTTTTTCACTGAATGGACCTCTCTACTTGCTTTACAATTTTTTTTCTGACCAAAAAGGGGTGATCACTTCATTTCCCCCCATGGTGTTGTGTATACACCCCAGGGATTTACATCCATGTTGCTATACCATTGATTTCACATAAATTTCCTTCTCAAAGCAAATCTTGGAGTTGCTCCTTGCTGTACTTTCACTTTAGTTAGTACTCTTTCTACCCTATAAATCACTTCTCATTCCACTGTTTCTTGGAATGGCCCAAAAACTTCCAAGAGAAAATTTGCCGGTTATACAATTCAATTTAAATACTTACACTGACAATAAAATTTCTGATCTTTCCCTGGAGAAGACCTAAATATCACTTTAAATTTGTGGCCAACTTTATAACTATTACAAATTATTACCAAATTCTTTGAAATCCAGCAGTGCAAGAGAGAACAGAAATGGAGACTGAGACTGACTGAGACTGAGACAAGGGCTGACTCTCAGAAATGACTTGGGGGGAGATATGAAATGTGTTGAGTCTTCCAAGAACCTGGGGTGGGGTTTGCCACTCATCTTTTACCCAAACGCAGATCTATCTAATTGGGAAATTGACACTGATCTATGGAGTGCCGAAAGTCTTTTGGAAAACAGCCTTGATGGCAATCCTTCCCATCTCTGTCAGCTCATCCACACCCAGTCCTGCAAAATTCTGGGTGAGTACTGGGACTGTCTGACAGGGCACAAACCTAGACTTGACCCTGCAGTACTGGAACCACTTCCCTGTCCCGTCCTCTTCCAGGGTACCATGACTGGCTTGGCAGTCAAAGATGAAGATAGACTTGTTGCGGTGGGCAACACACCGCAGGCATAACCCCAGAGCCCCTTGCACACTGCCAAAATCTTGGGCAAGACTACCTACAGCAAATATGCTACTCAGCTTCTCGTCATCCAAGAGGGGCAATTTTGTCTTGATATCGGCATCCTTGCAGTCACAGAGGTCTTTCTCTGTATGACTCATAGAGGCACCTGGACATTGTGACGATCCAAACATGGATGCAGTCACATCGAGTAGTTTACATTTGGGGCTGGGAATAGCGAGTGTGTGCCCATCTAAGGGGTGGAAGAGTTTGTTCCTCCCCATGGAGTAGATCTTCGTTGGTACCCCGTACTGATTGCTCATCATTTGCCAGTACAAGCTCCATGTGCAACCGAGCGATGTGTCCAATGAGTGGTTAGTGTACTCTGTCCGCTGGTGTCGCATGGGACTGGGCAGGAACTTCTCCGTAACGTTCACTCCTTCATCTGGCTCAACCAAGCTGTCTGCATCCGAGGACGCCTTGTGGGATTTCTTTGCAACAGGCTCGCTGAATCCTTCGTCCGAGTCATCCGAGTCTGCATGTGGCTCCTCAACTCTTGGCAGAGGAGGCAGTAACCATTGAACATGTCTCACTGGGGGACGGCGAGAGCCAACACATCGTCTTAGTTCGTGAATGCTACGATAAGTGTGAATAGGCTTGATACTCACTGTGCCTGTATGACTTGAAATAGAACCACTTGAGGGCGCTGTGACACTCACACAATCCACTGAATGATGTGCTATACATGTACCTGGATGCTTGCATGTTGGCAAACAACCATCAGTCAAGTCATGTAATGAACTCTTATTCACTGGAAATTTCCGAGACAGTTCACCATCAAACTTGCAAGCAGGACTTTCATCTTCGGACAGTTTCAAGGACGATGTCATCACTACAAGATTTGAGACAGTTTTACTGCATTCCTCAGTTCCTCCAAGGTCCATGCCAGGTTTTGCATAACTGAATGCTGTTGAGGATGCCCCACGAGTGTTATTCCTGACCACATCAGCACTATTTCCTGTGGGGGAAATATCCTCCATAGCGGTACTTGATGCTGTTGTGTCTGTCTTCGCTGAATAATTCCCACTGCTCAACCAAAGAGCAGGAAGGGCTGTCTCGGTGCTAAACTCCTGACAGTCACAGGCAGTGTTCTGGCCTGCCGCCCCACGAGTTGTCAACTCAAGTACCGAGTGCTGTGTCTCAGTTTCGGCTGGCTTGTCTGCGCTCTTTCTCCGTGGCCTCGCTGCTCTCATGACGCATTCCTCGCACCGATGTTCGGCAGCCAACACCCGCCTCCTTTTGCTAAAAATACCGAAGCGGTTTCGGCAGTATTCATGGCTTTTCTTCCTCTTAGGCATGCCAACTTAATAACTGAGGTGAATTTTATAATCGAATATCGAGATTTAGGGTGAATTTCAGCTTACCGTTTAGTTACGCGACGGCCGAAGTTGTGAGTTGAAGAAATAACGTCGTTACCAAATTGCCAGCACGCCCTCTCTTGTCGAGAAATTTACAATCCTCGGTAATTGCTATTATTGAACTCGATCAGCACAATTTTAGGACAGAATTTCTTTCTAATAATTTAACCCCAGAATTTACAAAAGGGGTGACGACAATTATGGAAGTGAGCGGCAATATTCCTATTTATATTTTTTTTAGGTCATTTAATCGACGGTTGAGGTCAAAACAGAAGGTAAAGTGTGGGAGGTTTGGACCAACACTTTAATCTCTGTTGTTTTGAGTTGTGTGCCTCTGAACATAATAATTTGTCTGGTTCTTCTTAGAACTTTGCATAATACACCTCATTCACGTGGAGCCATTTCAATCTTGTTCCCTGAATCTGTTTGGTAAATTGCAACCGTGGATTAAGATGGTACCTGACTTCTTTATAATCGCCTTGCGTTTCAAGCCTCCATTTTTACTGGTCAATTTGGAATAATTAGCCTAAGTAGACAGGTACGCATTTGTCAGGAAATTTCATTTTACGACTTCCAGTTCTACCCTCAACTCTACAAAATATGAAGACTTCACTTCCCTTTCAATTTCAACATGGCCGACCACGAATAAAGTCTATTACGATTGAGCTTTATTTTCATGATCATGTTAGCACAACCTTTCTAACTTTATGCATGCATGGAGTAGGAAAAGCTACATATACCTCAATGGTTCATGTCCACCATGTAATTTTATAACACGATGGGGATGTCGGGTGCTATCCCTAGTATCTGCAACTCCAGCTGGACCCAGCCATAAAATGCTATTAATTATCTGGCCCAAGCAGATTCGAAACGGTGTGATTGCAACATTTGAAAAGAGGAAATAGCAGTGCAAAAGGGAGCGTCTTTTTAGAGCACAAATACATGATGCAATCTAATCAAGTGCGTCACGCGCAATTCGCACTGAACGCGCTGCCATTCATCGTTTCGCCCACTGCTTGCCCACGCTTTTTTAAAATCAGGGTAATACGCACAGGTCTGGTGGCGTACGAGCTGTCTTAAATCCATACGGTCACTACCATAGACTTATATACGCATAATTTTAGGCCCGCACAGCCAGTTAATAACGAACAAAGATATGACTATGGCATAGTTACGTAGAACACATTAGGAAGTTATCACCTCATAAGGCCCCCAGCCCCTCATAAATAGTGTACAACCTCACAGCGATAGTCTTGGCAATCAGCATAAAACATCTGCTAAACAGTTTAGATGAAAATCAGCCAATTGGAGTGTCAGTCGGTCGCAAATATACCGAGTTACTTTATCATCAGAAATAACATCAGAACAGACACCAAAATCAAGGGAACAAAATCAGAATTCGAGAGTTGGCTGAAGTTTTTGGAAACTAATTAAAACAAAACGGAAATACTTATCAATTTGAAGCCATGCCCCTTTATGGGGGATTTTTCTAATGGTCAGATCGGACAAACACGTTTCTATTCCCTACAAAGTGTTTTTAAAATAGGGAATAATTAGGCCTATAAGCACTAAATTTCTAGCTGCTAAAAAGTCATGAAATCCTCATCAAGTTGAAACGAAACAATGTTGGACTGGATGTGCCGCAGTTTTCAACTTATCAGTGCGCAAATAAAATTAATCAAGTGTATTCGAGAAAAGCAATGGAGGTCCGTGACAAAAGCAAATAAGGGTAATAAAGCTATGGATAGTAGCTAAGCCTATACTATGCCGGAACGACTGTTGGTTGATTATGGTCCTTGGACTCACTTTTCACACAGGCTTCCTTTGCATATGGGTATCTTTACTGCAAGATATAACCAGTTGGTATAGCCGAAGGTCCCACCATTGATGATACTAAATAATTCATGGCACGTGATGGTGATCCGGTACCGCTAGTAAGATAACCGGGATTTATTCTAATGCTGTATAATATTTATCCATCTAATGCTGTGTGGTTTAGAACTTCAGGGGAAATTATTATAAATGGTGTACTTTAATTAATAGGGGTATAAATTCCCTTAACAACGAAGTCAGCCTTCTGCACATCAGTTTTTTGCCCAAAAAAAAATAGAATTCTTTATTGGTGAGTATACAACAGACACAACGGGCCTAATTGTTAGCGATATGAAAGTCCATTTTGCATTCAATTTCTGTTTCTTGAATTAATTTTTAAAAATCTGCGGTTAATGTAAACATTCGATACTCATTAGTAATTCAAAGACCCCAAAACCTTATAACGCGACTCTTTCAACTTCACATACTGAAATAAAGGAATCCAATATTCACAAACAAGTGAAAGTTTAATAGAAATAAATCTTTCGAAAAGAACCAAATTTGGATGTAGACTTTGCAAATTTTAGTTAATTTTCAAAGCGTAGACCTATCCAGAACAAAACGCGCAATCAGTAGGCGTGATAGTTTTCAATATGTAAATCCCTGTCGTTGGTTTGGCATAAGCCTGTCGTTCAAATGTGACGCATTGGATTGTATTTTTGCAGCTTTCGGTCCTGAAACTGTCATTAACCTTATTGGCTGAGAACAGTATTTAAATAATCATAGAGCAAACAGTGTTATGGAAAACGAGCTGTGGATATATTATAGCTATTGTAAAGAATGACAAACTTAAAGATGATCAGAAGTTCTTCATGCAAATGTTATCATAAATTTGTTCTATTCATGCATGTGGGAATGGCTAACGCTACGTTCTTATCGGCTTGAATTGTCTATTTTTGACAAAACCGAATTGTCTTTTTTGACAATATCGAATTCTAAAACATATTGTTTGCTGTTTACTTTGCGAAATATACGCTTAATTTCACGAATGAGCCGGTGAATCCTGTTTTATTTACTGTGTGTCTTCCCTGAAGTTTTTTGCACTCGTGAGCTCATTGTGGACTCATCCTTGTGGTTATTTCAGTATTTCAAAGAATAACAGTTGCATTTTTTTCCATGACGTGTTGGACTGTCCTGTTTGAAGATGGGAGGAATTTAACAAGTGTATTTCACACGCTCTTTGTCTGGTGGTTTGAATAAGCTTCTTTGGCACCTTTGAAATTTTGTCACTTTATCTTGTTGTCTGAAACTAATTTTGAACATGTTTTGAATGTCTTACGAAGGATGTTTCTTCAAAATCAAAATTCCCTGGAAAACAAAACTACACAAAATTAACGAAAAGAACGAACAAAATAAAACAGAGGAAAGGTATGTTGAAGGGGACGGTTGCAAATTAAACTCCCTTTGGAAAGAGACCGTCGATCTCCTCGCCAGCCATGAGTGCCTTCTCCATCTTGACCAGTAGACCCACACCATCGACGACCATCTGTACCAGCTGAACCTCAGACACACCGATGCGATCGGCGTTGGAGATGTCGAAGGTGCCATCGGTGGATGCCGTGTCCACGCCGCCCGTGCCCCGCTTTTGCAACCGCAGCTTCTCCAGGAGTGCGTCGAACTTCTCGTGCCTGCTTAGCAGGGGGATCTTGACGTGCACGCCGGCGCGCAGACCAGTGCCGAGGTTGGACGGGCAGGTCAGCACGAACCCAAGGTGGTCGTTCCACATGAACTCGTGGCCTTTGCTCTTGATGGCTGCCTCCACCTTCTGCAGCCCCTCACAGAAGCGCTCGAAGACTCTCTTGATGTTACCCCCCTTTTCCATGGAGATGACGCGGGTGTGGTCCTCTTCGTTGATCCAGACCAAGAAGGTCTTTTCATTGTTGTGCCAGATACCTCTAGCCTGAGGCCAGTCGCGAGCCATATTGGCAGCCAACAGCAGCGGCGAAACCGGTTTGTCGAAGAGGAAGTGGTCTGCGATGAGCTTATCTTGGGTCTCTTCCGTCATGCCGGTCAGGGGGTAGTACGTGCCCTTCAGCGGCCCGTCGAGTACATCCAGGGCATCAACGCAGATTTTCTCCACCATGGCTCGCTCGGCCCGGGTGCAATGAGGTGGGAGGGAGATGCCGCGGATGCAGCGCCCTGTGCGAACCCGGCTAGACAGCACGAACGCCGGGTCCAGGTCGTCGCCGCCCTTCAGCTTGGTAGCGTCCAGGTCGGTTGGGTGCTTGGCAGTCTTTGGGTAGCCACCGTGACGGGCGTCGATGACCGGATCGAAGAGGTCCGCGAAGAGCTCGTAGCATTCCTCGTCGCCGGCAACCATACCGACTGTCATGATGAAGGGATGGCCGGGGTTGTCCACACCAGTCTGGATGCAGTCATCGAGGGTAAAGCCAGACTTTGTCTTCAGCTGGCTCAGCTTGTCATAGATAGCGGGCGTCAGGCACTTGGCCATCCAGTTGTTGTGCTTAGAAAGATCTGGGTAGTTGCTGCTCATAACTTTGGTCGGTGGTCGAGGCTTACAGGCGGCAGGAAGCAGATCATCGATTGATATACCCTTCTCGAGAGCCTTCTCCATCTTTATCAATAGCTCAACGCCGTCAACCACACACTGCACCTGCTCCACCTCAGAGGTCCCCAGACGATCCAAGTTGGAAATGTCAAAGATGCCGTCAGTCGAAGCTGTGTCTACACCGCCAGTCCCCCTCTTCTGCAGACGCATAGCCTTGAGAATCTTATCAAATCGCGGGTCCTGACTGACTAGGGGGAGCTTGACGTGCACCCCACCGCGGAGGCCGGTGCCCAGGTTGGAGGGGCAGGTCAAGATGTAGCCCAGATGCTCATTCCACATGAACTCTTTGCCAGCAGCTTTTATCAGGGCCTCCACCTTCTGCAGCCCCTCACAAAATCGGGTGAAGACTTTCTTCATGTTGCCACCCTTATCCATGGAAATCACGCGGGTGTGGTCCTCCTCGTTCACCCAAACCAGGAAGTTCTTTTCCTCGTTATGCCAGATCCCCCGAGCCTGGGGCCAATCGCGATCCATCTTGGCAGCGGTGAGCAGCGGTGACACAGGCTTGTCGAAGAGGAAGTGATCCGCGATGAGTTGCTCCTGAGTCACCTCTGACATACCTTCCAGGGGATAGTAGGTGCCTTTCAGGGGGCCCTCCAAGCCAGCCAGGGCATCCACGACGATCTTCTCGATGGCGGCCCGTTCCTCTTTCGTGCAGTGTGGTGGGAGGGCGTAGCCGCGGATGCTGCGGCCGGTACGTACCCGGGATGAGAGGACGTATTTGGGGTCCAGGTTGTCACCCCCTCGGAGATCATTAGAGTTAAGATTGGTGAGGTGCTTGGCATCTTTGTCGTAGCCTCCGTGTCGAGCGCTGATTACCGGGTCCATCAACTCAGCAAAGACATCGTAACATTCTTCGTCCCCGGCAACAACGCCGACGGTCATAATATGGGGATGACCTGGGTTCTGAATGCCTGTATTGATGCAGTCCAGCAGCGTATACCCGCTGGGTGTCTGCTTGTCCTTCAGATTCTTCCATATGCGTGGGGTCAGGCAGTGGGCCATGTGATTGTTATGCTTGCTGAGGTCCGGGTACTCGGCTAGGTCGGGATCTGTCTTGCTGTCCGGCATGAGATCATCGATGCTCTCACCCCCTTCCAGGGCTTTCTCCATCGCTACCAAGGTGTTCACACCGTCTACCACCATTTGCACCTGTCGAACTTCCGAAGTGCCCAGCCGGTCCAGATTGGAGATGTCAAAGGTGCCGTCGGTGGATGCCGTGTCCACACCACCGGTGCCCCGTTTCTGTAGACGGAGTTTGGACAGGATCTCATCGAACTTTTCGTGCTTGCTGAGGAGCGGAATCTTCAAGTGGACCCCGGCCCGGACGCCGGTGCCCAGGTTGGACGGACAGGTCAGAACAAAGCCCAGGTGCTCGTTCCACATGTACTCGTAGTTCTTGCTCTTCAACGACGCCTCAATTTTGCCCAGGCCCTCGCAGAAGCGGGAGAACACTGCTCGCATGTTGCCCCCCTTTTCCATGGAGATGACACGGACGTGGTCCTCCTCGTTGATCCAGACCAGGAAGTTCTTTAGGTCGTTGTGCCAGATGCCGCGGGCGTCTGGCCAGTCGCGGGCCATCCGCGCGGCGGTCAGGAGCGGGGAGACCGGCTTGTCGAAGAGGAAATGGTCTTCGATGAGTTGCTCTTGCTCTTTCTCCGTCATCTTGTCCAGTGGGTAGTACGTGCCCTTCAGCGGGCCACCCAGACTGGCCAGAGCGTCCACCATGATCTTCTCCACGTCTCGCCGTTCAGCACGGGTGCACAGCGGGGGCAAGGCGTAACCGCGGATGCTCCGGCCGGTTCGCACGCGGCTGGACACCACGTACTTCGGGTCCAGCTCGCCGCCGACGAGGTGCTCTGGGTGGAGGTCGGTGACGTGCTTCTCCGTGGGCGAGTAACCGCCGTGCCGGTCGCTGATGACGGGGTCGAAGAAAGGGGCGAAGGTTTCGTAGCACTCCTCATCGCCGGCGACCATGCCCACGGTCATGATGAATGGGTGGCCCGGATTGTCCACACCCGTCTGGATGCATCGGTCCAGGTCGCAGCCGAACGACGTGCGGAGGTCGAACAGTTGCTTGTAGATATCTGGAGTCAGACACTTGGCCATGTGGTTGTTGTGCTGGCTCAGGTCTGGGTAGTTCTCAGAAGCCCTGCAGCAATATTAGTACAGATTGCTTTTCTTTCAGAAATCTCAATTTGGAATTTCAGGCTTTTCATGGTGAAAGACAGGAACAGGTGGAAAGGCTTGCGGTAGCACCGTGCGAAGGAATGTATCTCTTATGAGTATATGTGGTTCTGAAAAGAACCGGGAGTATACTCAAACGCTTCGGACTGCGTGCTCAGTCCGTCGTCAGACTCAACACACCGTCGTCAGGAGAGTGCTCAGTCCGTCTCCTGACGCCGGACTGAGCACGCAGTCCGAAACGTTTGAGTATACTCCCGGTTCTTTTCAGAACCACACATACCCATAAGAGATAAATCTCAATTTGCTGAGCACTTTTCATAACTACGAACGATACAAATCTACCGAGAAATACATGTAAACTGATTTTAGAAAACTAGTTACAGGTATCTAATTAAACTTACGTCTGAACGAACACGGGAACCTCATTTCTACCTGCACCTGATGAAAAAAAAAAGAAAATGTATGGTCATTATAAACAAATATGAGAGCAAGAAAAAAAAACAAAGATAAAATATGTGAGTCACGGGAAATAAAACATTCGGGAAATTATTCTTCAAAGCTATTTTTTTAGAATGGAAAGATTTTAATCTTGCCCGTTCAAAGAAAAAGGACAAAATAACCCATCTATTTCCTGTTGATTTTGAAATATCTTTCTGTTTGGTACATTAATAAGAGTTTATTTTATTTGTTTTTATCGAGTTTACAGCATTGGACTGCTGAGCACATTTTGCAAATTGGGACTAATATTAAAATCATTTATGAAGCGCCTTTTAATAAGAACAATGGACTGGCATTTCTTTTTCATGCCTGGAAAATCCCGGGGGGTTGGAACCCGCTTCGGTATACATCTGGTATTACACCGTCATGCACTGAGCAGTGCTGTTGCCTTAACTGTTTCTGCTTCATGCACATTCAACATCTGTGTGCTGAATTACAAATTCCCACAAAGGTCATAAAATACCATCGGGTCGAGAGGTAATAGTAATAATGCACTATTGAAACTGCAAACTTTAATTTTCACTTCGGTTTCATAGCTCCAAATGTCACGAGACGTTCTGTTTTATTTTGGGAAATTTTGCTATGCGGTTAACCCTGTCTGCAAATTATATACATTACTGAAGAAAGAGAGAGAGGGGAAACTATTTTTCGCGGGCAAAAACGCGCGGACAATATTTCCCTATCCACTCCGAGCGGCACCAAGAGTAGGAGTGATTTTCATGACAACGGCAAGGACAGTATTGACAGCGCCAGCTTCAGACTTTGAAATCAAACTGGTTGTTCATTATGTGTGCATTCAGTTACAACATGCAGCCTCTTTTGTGCTTACTGTCCGATTGCATTGACGCATAACGCATCATTTTGGTTCCAACAATAATTGATTAGGACATTCATGTTGCAATTCGTTCTATAGACAGAGCAACGAAAGCCCTTTTGGCGGAAACTGCTCCCGAACGAAAATACAATGCACGCACTGTGTCCGCGCAGCTACCATCAAAATGAACACTGCCCACCAAAATGGCTTCTTTCAACCGATGAGGGGGTACCTCTACTCAAGGCGGATGCTATTATATCAGCGGGGCATTCGCATTTTCACCCCCCCCCAAAAAAAATTCTACGCGCACACAGTGGCAGATACTCTTAAATGGTCAGCGAAATGGTCCAGGCCGCATCCGTGCTTTGAGCGATTTGCTCCAGTTTATTCAAGTCCTTGCAGCGCTTCATTAGAAGTTACAAATAATGAATGACGTTATGTTTTCAGGTAGAAACGAGTCAAAAATCTCAAATCCACCATCCACCTGAGTGTCACGCGGTGTCCGCATTTGAAGCATGTTGTCCAGTTACGTCCTTTACAAAATCATTTGACCTGAGAGGACTTGACATACACAAACATTGTTTAGATGTACGAGATGTTACGAAGCGAATTAGCTGTTACAATTAAAGTGGACGATGCAGGACTTGTTCACAGAACCTTATGGCTGAATGCATTTTCGAACGGCAAAATTTGTTCATTTGCATAACTCTTCCTGAGAATGTCTAAAATGTATTTAATCAGTTAAAGTTAATTCAGAACAAGACCATCGTACGTTGAGCATCTTGCTTCGTGATGTAGCCTTCATCAGCTTTTTTTCTTAATTTTTTTTAACAAGGCTTTTTACACGCCAACCGATCTCCTGTTAGGCCAACAAAATACGAGAAGCGTATAGAAATGAAAAGCAGATCCCTTATAGGAGATGTCACAAGCCGTGTTTCGACGTGCTTGCTTTGACATTGTGAAAGCGCATGTCATCCGTATTTTTATCCTTGATATCAGCTTCCCAGAATTCAATTTTACGGACGCACTGACAGGCGACAACAACGACATAATGAGTAATGATGGTGATAATGATTTCGTTACGATGAAATTAATACATGTATAGCTCTTTGGGGCCATTTTGCTACGTGCCGATTAACAGTGCGGTTCGTGTGAAACGTTGCAATGTTCATTGCTTTATAAACACCTGCTATTAACATGTGGAATATTTTCATCAGTATCTCAACAAAAGGTTGAAAGACCCTGACTTAGTTGCTCTCGTGTAGCGAGACCCATGAGGCAGTGAAGGCGCTTCCCCGTGTGAGATCAGAGTCCTCAACCAGTGGTCACTCGATCACCATTCGGCTGTTGACCAGCTGAAGCACCCCCCCGCCAGAAGTGCCGCCAGTTCATAAGTGCAACAAAGGTTGAACGTATTCTAATTATTTGTCAGAAGTTTGGTTTCACGAGACCATTTTTTAACGAGATTTACATGTTGGTCAGCACAGCCTTGGCAGTATAATACCTGTCCTAAGTTAACTAGAGATGGACGTCTCGCTGGCTAAGGTCAGGGTGAATAATTCTCGGCCATACGCGGTGCTTGAATTCACAGGGACAAATGCCGGTTTGAACGCAAGCCATCTGGAACAATTTGAAACTCTTTGTGAAATGGGGTGACTATAGTTGGCCGTAAATTCTTTTAAGAGGGAGAGTACTCCACACAAAGTTAAATTAATCCTTTGTGTAAGGTCGAGTTGAGCGGGTCAAGCAGTCCCGAAACAATACTGAACCATGTTAACTGTCTCTGACGGGACCTGAAACCGCTTCCCAAATCCAAGCAACGCATTCGAGGAAAGTATAAGTGCAACCAATTTCACCGGATCTGAAGTTGAATTCAGTGGTGTAAATCTGTGCCTGAAATGAGGGGGGGGGAATTGTACAGGGAAAGATACCACGGGCGTGGACATGGTGGATTTGCATAAATGCACTCTATCACATTGTCTAGCAAAGCAAAATGTTAACCTAGAAATATCATACTCAATACTCTTTCTTCATGTAACAGGGTGCTGATGATAGGAACACCAGAATATACTAGGTCTATAGTGTACCAATCCGGGTATAGGGCAGCGCGAAAATCCGTGATTGCCAGTGGCAACTGGTGAAAACTACGGTAATTAACAACGCGCACGGGTAACAATCAAAGAAAGCACTCGCGCGTTGTTATCATTGTTTTCACCGGCAATCACGTATGCTCGCGCAGCCGAATACAGTTGATTGATTTTGTAATGACTTAAAGTTGTAGAATACTCATTTGGGGGAAACACTCTCTTTTAGGACATCTCCCCATTTCAATTTTTAATTGTTAAAAGGTGTGCATCGGTCCACAACGTACATTTGTATCTTCGGGAAATCTTCCTTTAACACAACCGAACGATTGAGTCGGTTTACCAATGTTGGTAAATAATTCAATATATAATATTTTTGTTCTATATAATTATATAAAGGATTGCCCCTTTCCGAGTACCACTTGGGAAATAACGTGCTTAGAACAAAAATTCGGACCAGTGCTCATTAGCACGTCATATTAAAAGACTTACACTAGAGCTATATTTATCTCTGTACTTTATACAGTACAGTCTACATGCATTCCTACCTGTAGATCCTTCACCGTACTGATAATTTCAAGTGTGACTCCGAGTGTTTAAACCTTTAGTATAATATATTTCGTATATAGGACTTTCATTTGTATCAGAAAAGGTAATTTTCGAGATGAAAATTCTCTTTAGGATAAATATTTTGTTTCATTTTGTATACGTGCTACAGTACAGTCTACATTCATTCCTACCTGTTGATCCCCCACCGTCACGGCCCTTAGTTACCACGCATCCCATGGTAGCGCTCATTTAGACAGACTTGGTTGGCGAAAGAATTCCTCCCCAAATGGCGTTGGGTAACGACTCCCGTTGATTTTAACGCCCAAAGACGATTTCGGTGACCTCTGAAAAATTGTTTTCTGTACCGTTTGGAGGACCAATGCAACCGAGGAAATGCGCACAGACGTGATAACCCGGGTAGCTACTTGAGAGCGAACTAGTTTCTTGTTGCTCTGCTGGCAAAACATCGAATTCCACCTCAACAGCGCAGTGCGCGCGAATCAGAACTGTTTTATTTTGGTTCGATTTCAGTGCCGATGACGGTGGAAATACGGCGCACAGCGCCCAACACACAAACTTCCACGCAGAAGCTCAGAGAACTTCTTTGACGTCACTCACTGTTTCATTGTGACGTATATGCATGGTGAGTGTCGGGCATAAACGCATAGATCGTTAATCTCGCGCGTATAACCGTGATTTTGAAAAAAAAAACCAAGGCCGGGGGGGAGCGAAGGGTGTTGTGCGATAAGCGCCCCCTATGTTTAAACTCTTCTTGTTCAGCATTGTGCGGCGATGGCGTGCACATCCTTTGTTTCTTAGTTACAAGAAGATGGACCACGATGAGTCTCCGAAAACACGAACAGCTGGAAATGTTTCTGTTGATAATTTCAAGTGTGAATCCGAGTGTTTAAACCCTTAATATAATATATTTCTTATATAGGACTTTCATTTGTATCAGAAAAGGTAATTTTCGAGATGGAAATTGTCTTTAGGATAAATATTTTGTTTCATTTTGTACAACTGCTATTCCTTTGACCATGCCATGTCGTGCTCGGGTTTCTGTGGCGCGGCGTCGGTGGGTTGTGAGTGCTCCAAGTCCACGCCGCGCTCAGCTTTCAGGGTTGAACGTATATAAAGAATTGTTGACTATACGCGTACCAAACATAATTGACAAAATTTGAATTATAATGGTGTGGAAAAACGGTCATGTTGAAGGGTTAAAGGATATCCTTTAAACGACTGCAGTCAGAAGGTTAGGCCTTAACACATGCATTTCAGGGGGGAAATGAATGTTAAAGGTAGGAGTTTTACAAAATAAATAGATTTCATACATGGATTTTAGCAGTGTTCATTTGAGGAGATCCCGGCCCAGTGTGTGCATTATAAGTGTGTTCGCGCGCAGGATTCACAGCAGGATCGAGAGCCAAAATTGGAATCCTTTTCAAGAATCTCCATGAAACAAATGGCTGGTGAACAGATTGAAAATAAAACGAGTCCTCCAATAATCCTTGTACTTGTAGATAACGGGAACGCACTGAGCTATCTACGAAAACACAGGTCTATGAGGGTGACAAGACTGGTTCCCGCCTGGGAGCTGTACGAAGTCATGACAGAACCGGGAACCATTAAGAGAGCAGTACGAAACGTGAGATTTCAAAACCATTCCTCTGCCTGTCTTTCTCCGCGCTTTGAGCGGGAGCAGCCTTGACCCTTCTCGTTGTCAACAACAACAAAAAATAATAGTAATAAAATATATAAATCATCGGTCGGCCACGCGGACTGGGAACAAGTCTAAGCCAGTTGACCATTGAATCAGTGGCAGAAAAAAAAAGATTGTAGGGAAAAAATATTGACCAATGAATAAAAAGGTTAAACAGTACGAACCCAAACTATACCTTTACAACAGACTTAACAATCCGAAGATTAATCGATCAGCACTTGTTGTGTGTCATGTTAAGCGTGGCGTACGCCTATTAGAGACCTGACAACCTGCAAATACGGTGACACTGTACCTCCCTGCCCGCACAAAACGAGTATAGAAAGAATCTATTTGGCGAAAACAAACGATACATGTCAGCTTGTAATAAATGCATGCATAGATTATATGCAAGCACGGAGTAAACAATATATCGTTGGGTCGAGTGTCAAAAGTCGAAACAAACAGAAGCCCAAAACCTCACGTGGGACTGTGGGTTTTCATCACTCTCAACTTTGGAAACAACGAAGAGAAAAAAAATAATTATGATTAAAAGGAGGCATGGCAAGAGCAGATGGCGTCATCCTACGTTGGAGGACTATGGAAACCGCTGTAATATTTCACTATACCCGACAAATCCAAATTGCCAAGACAATACAGCGGCTCTGCGAACAGACGAAAGTAGTTTAAAAAACTTGGCTTGAAAGAAGTTTTAAGAATCACAGAAAATCTCTCAAAACACTCATTTTTAAGCTTCATGGCGACAGGTAAAAAGGACGGCTCTTGAGAAAAGGTTACATCGAAGCGATGAGAGTGTACACCACGTCAGAACCGTTTAGAGAAGCCGACTTTCGAGAGATTAGAAGGTTTTAGAAACTTTAGAAACTGGTAGCTGTTGCTCCTAGTGTTGTTTAGCTTTGGCAAGTTGTTTCGCAGCCAAGTCGTGTCTGTTTTCCTCTGCATCGATTCGTTTTTGTGAAATACAGACAAAAACAGAACCATTTATGACAATTTGCACGAAACGTTCGGACTACATTGTGAGCTACCGGTAGGCAGACATGATCGTCAGGCGAAACATGGTATATACGTCGATCCTGAAAGAGAAAAACGTGTCTAAACTCCGACAGAGTGCAGTCGACAGTGGCTCGATCGGGGTGACGCATCGGAGACATCGGAGGTACCAATTTCCAAAGTCCCGGAGCTTTGATTGTGCACGTGCTTTTTGTGATGGATGCGCAATTGACGATAGAAGACGCTAACTTCGAGAGCGAGGTGTATAAGTGGTGTTGACCCTTTGGTGTAGAAAACTTGAGAGAGGTCAAGACCTGTGATCTTACTGGGCAATTTAGAAGTCAAGACTGCGCTTTTGAGGCAGAAGCACGGGACCTTTGACAAAGTGGTTTATTAAAGTAAAGACGAGACCAAGATGAACATTAGCGAGAACGAGTAGCAACAGCCTGACTCTGCTTTAGTCGTCGGAAAAACATAACACCAAACGGGTGTTGGGATTGTTGGAGACCGAGTACAGAATTGTTTGAAACAGTTTAGCCATCATCTGTCCGAGGCTTGTCCGACGAACGCGTTTTTTTGCAATTTAGGCACATCAGAACACTTTACGTTAAACACAGTTTAACGCGTTTCGCATTAAAACGCGAAACGCGCTTAATGGCATGGGGACATCAAGTATCGGACAAGGGCGTGTAGCAAGGTCGAGTTCAGCGGTCACTATGACTATTCGTGTTGGTTATTGAAGCAACGATACAACTATTCATTTGATGAGTTTATACCTCACAACAGAAGTTGAGCCGGCGAAAATTTCCCTTATACAGGAAGCTTATACAGTGTCCTTTCAAAATTTGACCCGGCGAGCAACTGTCCCCCAACAACAAAAAGGAATCCCTTGCTTGATTGAACGCAAACTGACCATGCCTCTGTAACATCTTGGCACCGTTGGTCACGGTTTTATTTACTACCATTGATCCAACTATCTATTTTTGTTAACCCGCTTGAGATGCGTTCCCTACCGATTATTACTGTTATTCGTTGAAAGCGAGAGGGGTCAAGGCTGCAGGTGCTCAAAGCGGGGAGGACGGGAAGGGAGAGGGGAGGGGTGATCTTAAAACCTCGCGATTCCCCTACTAGAGCACTTCTCATTGAAGATTCCTTTGGAGGGGAAAGGCAGGGAAGTCTAACTCACTGTTGTTTCAGAGCTGTTTGGCTCCGTTGAACAACAGATAACATCAGACGAGGATATGTATGGGTGTGATCAGCCAAAAATTGCACCAAAAAACCCCAGATATTTTTCTGTTCAATGGCATCGAGGTATCCACGGGCTGCGTTTGGGAGTAACACGCAGCTAGCTACGGGAAGTAACTTCATTAACTGCCAGCCACTGGCTTCCATACTAGGCACATGTGCAGTGTTCAATCGCTGATCCCCGTCGCCATCTTGCAGTGCCAAGTTTTGAAGAGGTTCTAACGTCAGTAACACATACAGGGCCAAAACGCAACAGCCAAGCAAGCAGTCCAGTTTCTTGGAAAAAGTCTGTCTCGTTAACCGGGAAAAAAAGGCTTGTTTTTGTCCCACTAGAATAGGCTTAAGTATAAGCAATTCCCTTTTGAAGTTTAATAAACATAATTATGCTTCTCCGTTTAAAAGCTTTTAGGCCTATTCCGTTAGTCTGCGCCTCGGTAATGAATTAGCCTAAGTATATTAAATTCCCATAACCTTGGTATTGCGAATAATTTAATATTTTATACTAAGGGTACAAAGGGTCGGTATTAAACGATCAGTTATAAATCTCAAACTATTTGGTGTGTCCATTTTCTTTTTCAAACTCCCTGTGGCCATACGCGTAAAGACTGGAAATTGACGCCCATGTGGCACGTACTGTTTGAGTTGGCACAGTCGCCAAAAGCTACAGTGCGACTTGGGGACGCCAGATTTATAAATGCTCCTATACTGACAAGTGAGGATTGTGAACGTTCAACCAGTACATTGGAAAGGGACAAGCTTTCATGGGAGTCTAATATTCACGGGATACCGGAGAAGGCTCTCGCCAAATAGGCGTGGATCTGAAGTATTTATGGTTTATTGGTTATTATCACATACAATGTACATATGTCTACCAGAGTACCTAAGTGTGACGTCATTTTAAAGCAGGAAGTGCAGGGCAAACGAATGTAGTATTCGCGCCATTATGTGTGCAAGAGGCATTAGGGTGATACCAGCGCGTGAACCTAGTTGTGCGCATGACGTGGTCCCGAGAGCCTTCGGTAATCTATAGGCAGCAATTGAATATTTATGAGGATGCACGATACGACAAAATACGATTTGCGCCAAAGAGATAAAAGCAGTGCGTTTTGAAAGACTTACAAAATAAAAAAAACAACCAACAAAAACAAAGACAATGATTAGTGTCCACAAATGAGAAGCAGGGTCAGGAGAAAACTCTACAAGGCCATTGCTTACTGTCAATGTTACAGTCATGTCGTCTTTACCGAGCATGCAACAAATCCAAGCAATTTTCCCATCGAAAAAAAATGTACAATTTTTATTTTACTCAAGTGGTTAAGATTGCTTGTACAAAGAGACCAGCATGTAAAGCAAGAATATTTCAAGTGCAATATTACTTGACGTATCGCTACAACCTTTATTGGTTTCAAACACGACATGAAAAGATTATACCGGTTTATAAATAAAACAATGTTTACAAAAAATACCAACAGGGAAAGATGAAAAGAAATTAAGAAAAGCGTACCCCAAACGGTAGTGCTATACATGCTGGTCACAGAAAGATTCAGCATACAGGTGTGCATTAAAATCGTAGCTGTTAAAAATTTATGGTAAAAAACACAAAATTTTGGATACGTTATGCACCTCATAAAAAGCTTCTCTGGCATATTACAAGCAGAGGTATATCTCAAATGGACCGTAAGTCACTATTTTGCATGAAATCTGGGGGGGGGAATTAATTTTAGCAAGAACGAGACAAACTTAAACATTTTCCAGTATGGGTGAAAACACAAAAAAACTTTGGGCAAAATACCAATGGCTACCCTATAAGGAGACTAACAAATGCCATATGCTGGTTAAAATTGCACACTACAGCTAAAGTCAGTCTCAAAAAAGCACTGAATTCATTTAAAATTGTGTGAACAAGTTTGAATACTTGATGTCAAAGGAGCTCTTTTCATTTATAAATTACAATAAAAATGTACCAAATAATCAGAGTACAGCATGTTTGATTTTGTTTTCATTTTTTAAAAAAGAATTGAGACCCAGTTTTTTGTACAAATTAACAAGAAATNAGACCCCTGTTGAATGCAACAAACTGCAGCATAGCTGACATGAGACCCCTGCTAAATGCAACAGAATGCAAAACAGCTGACATGAAAACACCACCAAATGCAACAAAATGCATCCAATGGCATGGGGGGGGGTCTTGTGGCACTGTGTAAAGTGCACTGGACCAACACCAGCCATTGCCCTATTGAATGACATGGTGTGATCTGCCACTGATGTTAACTGCCAAACGCAAAAAAATACAAATTTCATCATTTGAGAGTTTCTATTGCATGTAGCGTGGAAAATGTTCCATACGCACGCGCATGTCGATCCTAATGTCTTCAAAATCCTGAAGTCGGTGCCCATCATGAAAAATTGACGCCCCAAATGCTGATGCGGGTGGCCTTCAGCAGAAAGTGACATCATTTGAGAGAGACCGATAAGTCTGTACATTGAGAGGATGAAACGTTCATAGGATAGGGGCTGTTTCAATCTCATCTCTGTACGAGGAAAGCCCATGTGTCCATCCACCTTGCTGACACTATCTCCTCAGCCGTTAACGCTGTGTGGCCGTAGGTGAAAGGAACTAGGTTCAGCCATGCAGCGAGCACTGCACTGACAAATACCACCACCAGGGCTGTGAAAACGTGACGCTGGATGAAGGACCTGGATTAAAAAAATGGAAAATCTGCCAATATTGAGTGGCCAGTAAAGTGTTTTACACCACTTCTTCGAAATGAACCATGTGGAACCTATCTTGATGACCCACCTCAGTAATTAGCTTTATTAGGGCTGGTTCATACGCCGAGTGAATGTGAGAGCGAAGCCATTTGACCACACAAATAATATGCAGGGAAATTTGCCAGGGTTGAAATGGGTTCACATTTTTGCAATTTCACAACACAAATATCTGATTGAATGCCACAAAATTATTTTCTCCCCAAGAAGCACACAGAAATTGGGTCCAGTGTGACACCAAGAACAAGCTGGCTTTGTTAGCATGCTTCAAAGTCGGGGACCTAATCTTCCAGCACTGTGAACTACACTCTCCTGACCAGTCACCAAGAGTTAGTGTAAGGGAACTTTGCACTGACTAGGAATGAGTCATATGTCCAAGGGATCATTACTCTGTAATACTTACCACACACGATGGAACTGAGAGATTACAAAACAAGGAGTGCATGGACCATAAATANAGAACCCTGTTGAATGCAACAAACTGCAGCATAGCTGACATGAAAACACCACCAAATGCAACAAAATGCATCCAATGGCATGGGGGGGGTCTTGTGGCACTGTGTAAAGTGCACTGGACCAACACCAGCCATTGCCCTATTGAATGACATGGTGTGATCTGCCACTGATGTTAACTGCCAAACGCAAAAAAATACAAATTTCATCATTTGAGAGTTTCTATTGCATGTAGCGTGCAAAATGTTCCATACGCACGCGCATGTCGATCCTAATGTCTTCAAAATCCTGAAGTCGGTGCCCATCATGAAAAATTGACGCCCCAAATGCTGATGCGGGTGGCCTTCAGTAGAAAGTGACATCATTTGAGAGAGACCGATAAGTCTGTACATTGAGAGGATGAAACGTTCATAGGATAGGGGCTGTTTCAATCTCATCTCTGTACGAGGAAAGCCCATGCGTCCATCCACCTTGCTGACACTATCTCCTCAGCCGTTAACGCTGTGTGGCCGTAGGTGAAAGGAACTAGGTTCAGCCATGCAGCGAGCACTGCACTGCCAAATACCACCACCAGGGCTGTGAAAACGTGACGCTGGATGAAGGACCTGGATTAAAAAAATGGAAAATCTGCCAATATTGAGTGGCCAGTAAAGTGTTTTACACCACTTCTTCGAAATGAACCATGTGGAACCTATCTTGATGACCCACCTCAGTAATTAGCTTTATTAGGGCTGGTTCATACACCGAGTGAATGTGAGAGCGAAGCAATTTGACGACACAAATAATTTGGGAAATTTGCCAGGGTTGAAATGGGCTCACATTTTTGCAACTTCACAACACAAATATCTGATTGAATGCCACAAAATTATTTTCTCCCTAAGAAGCACACAGAAATTGGGTCCAGTGTGACACCAAGAACAAGCTGGCTTTGTTAGCATGCTTCAAAGTCTTGGACCTAATCTCCCAGCACTGTGAACTACACTCTCCTGACCAGTCACCAAGAGTTAGTGTAAGGGAACTTTGCACTGACTAGGAATGAGTCGTATGTCCAAGGGATCATTACTCTGTAATACTTACCACACACGATGGAACTGAGAGATTAGAAAACAAGGAGTGCATGGACCATAAATCNGGCATAAGGGCGAAATAATGTGTACATATTGACTGTTTTGAGCAGTTAAGTGGAACTCATCACTTCAGGAAGGGCATGTACATCACTTACACTTACCTCAATAGGAGGGTGTAGATCCATTCCCAGGTTGCAGCAAGCAGCATGACCTTACAAAGCAGAGCTGGCAGGTAATGGTGCAAGAACAGGGTTCGCTCCATCAAGAAATAAGGGAGGTAGTTCAGGGCCCAACCCCCGAGGAGGACCACCGATGTCAGGGCCAGCCGGTTCCAGTCACCTGCCGGGAATCAGTCAGGACAGATTCTTTTTAGAAAGTCTGGGACTAGTTTGAGGGGAGGTTTTTCGATAGTACATAGTCACTGCTTCTGAGTTCAAGTCCCTCCTGTTGGTAGATTTAGGGAGGGGGCAACAGGGGTCGTATCCCCTCCTCCCAAAAGGAGGCAAACCTGTTTGCTTTGGAAATATAGAGGAAAAGCTTATTTTTGAAACTGTTTTATTTCCTTTCCTTCTGTGTGTAAAATTTAAAGCTCAAGAATTTAGCTCAATTGCTCAGAAAGAGGATAAAAGGTAACATGAAGAGATTCTTAAATTATTTGAAAAGCCACGAAAAAAGCTTTGGATGCCCCCAATATTTGGTTCTGGATTGACCCCCACTTCTTGCACTTGGAGTCTGGGTCCAAAACATTGGTGTTGGAGCCTGAAAATCTGAGTCCGAGTCCATCAAATTCCGGACTTGAGTGTGGGGACCCAAGTCCGACTTTGAATCTGACTTCACTAACACTGAAAGTGCACATAACACTGTGGCTACCATCTGTCATTCTCCTTTCTGGTGAATGGTCAAGCCAGACAGTTCAATCATCACTCCTGAATCTGAAATGGCCCACCTTCTCCCAAATCTTGACATTTCCGCCTCCGCCGGATGACCAGGGTGAGGAGAATGATGAGGAATACGGGGATGCTGAGAGTCGCCGCGCACCATGTCACCGGGTTGCCGAGGAGATGTATTTGCATCTGAGAAATGCCAAAGAAAATTCAAACTTTTTGAGGATTAAATATACTGGCAAACCCGTAAACAACTTACTTAAGGTAAAGCTTCTTTTCAGATGTGGCAGAAAAACAATAGGATCATCATAGAAATATCTTTTTTCCTCTCAACATTATCCTAACCAAAACGGTGGCTTACTGAGGATGCTACCTTTGTTTTTACCTCTATCATATCTGCGGCTGTGTGTACCCTTTTTTTCTGAGCATTAGTCAATAAAAGACTTCACTGATCCTGTGACAGCAATTAGCCAAAATAAGTATGATAACTTGAGCAAAATCACGTCAATTATGACCAAGAAGGGATGTGGCCGCAGACGGTAAACTTAGCATCGGTGGAGGGGGAGGCTCATTCACAGGGCCGCGCCCTTCCGAGATCACAGCAACTGGTACTTATGGGGTCGTTCCTCTTTTATGCAAACTGAAATATTTTGATCAAAATTCTTCGACTGTGACACTTTTACACCCCTCTATTACATCATTTTTGTGAAAGTGGATTTTAGTGATGGAATGCAAGGTTGTAAATCTACTTTATCAAAGATACTGGCTTTGGCTTTGGCTTTGTTTTCTTACATTGGAGTCCTTTTGTATCCAGAATGCTATGCCCCGTTGGGTCAGGGGCCAGTCCAGGGGCGCAGACCGATACCGATGCTCGAGCTGAATCTCAGAATTTTTGGTGAACATCTTCATCTGACAGAAATTTCAGAAGAGAGAAAAATCATGAAATTATTTACCAATCGAGAATATAACCTCCACCTCTTGATTTTAACTCTAGAAGTACATCCAACAAGACATGGACAGAAACGTTATATCAGGAAGGATTTACAGTCCACTCGCCTGTAGCTCGATGAATTTCTCCCAAAAGTTCAGCACCTTTGTTTCATCAGAAGGCTCTACCTGAGGGTGATGCACTACTGCATCACCATTCTCTGAAACTTTACAGAAAAATAACGGATGCGTCACTCACAAAATGCTGGATCAAAAACCAACTGACCTCAGTTTGTTGACTGAGCTATGATACACACCAGAATTTCTAGAGTTGCCATCTAGATGTTGGAATTCAACAAAAATCCTCATGAGTTCTCACAAGTCAATCAAGAGGCAGCCAGTTTCAGGCTAGGTCATAAGCTTTTCACATCAACTGTGACAAAGGCATTCCTTTCAATCGTCGTTCCGGGAGGGTAACAAGACTGGTGATTTGACCGGAGACTGACTGAATCAGAGCTCTATGACAACTGTAAAGGGTCATTTGAGGCCAAGTTGATGGCAATATTAACTGTATTTAAGCAACGTTACCTAAACAATGGATGCATGGACCACCTAACTGACCACTTAGAATCTAGGGTTTGGGCACAGTTACATTATTGTCTATTGTTGGCTTTTTCATGATTAAATACAGAAGGGACCCCTTGACGTAAATAAAGATGGCAGAGACCACCAACGCAACGGGAGATGCCAAAAATGGCAAAATGTGACGATGGGATTTCCAAAAGTAGTTCATCTTGCATAATTCAAGTGGGACAGCACTGTGTACTGGTAAAAAGCAACTGGCCAGTGGTCAGTGCCCAAACCTGCCGACAACTTTCTCTTCGTAAGATCAAACAGCGCTCTCTGTTGTTCAGGTTTCAAGTCCACTGGCACTCCTCACCCGCGACGTACTGGTGCTCTTCCACATTCCAGACGTTGTCGTCCTGGTGCACGTCACGATCGGTGGCCATCTCATACTGGTAGAACCCCCAGTCGGGCAGCTGCTGCCCGGTCACTCGCAGGTACTGGGACGTGTTCACGTGGAGGAACCTGACATGGGACGACACCGCCTTCCAAGTCTCACCTTCGGTCTCGGCATTGACTATGGCCTAAGGGCAAACAGTTACAAGATGAAATTAGAACATGTCCTTGTTAAATGGCCAAATAGGGTACCAAAGTGTGATGTCATTTGAACTAGAGAGTGTACTGTGAACAAATGAAGTACTTGGGTGTGTGGGTTCTCATGTTAATGCCTTTGTACGCATAATTGTGCGTGGGACGTATTCAGGTCACATGAGCTTCCACAAATGAAATTTTAAGATCAAGTCCTTGCAAAAAATTCCATAGACATTAGAATATAGTGCTGGTTGCATGTGAAAATGAATGATGGTTGGCATAAACCTTTACTCAAACAGGATTGAGGCTGCTGTTCACAAGGCACAAGACCAGTCACAAGACCAATCATAAGACCAGTCACAGGACCGCAAGGTGAAAAATGACAAAGGAATGCTTTTGTTGCAGTTCATTTGAATAGCCTTGGACTTGAATTCAGACTGGAGGTCTTGTGACAGTCTTGTAGGGTCTGTGATAGTCTTAAGGGTCATAACATTGTTAAAGGTCCACCTGCTTAGTTCAGCCTGCAAGCCGCTTACCACTTTCCAGAGGCTCTGTTCTGGCATGCTGATGTTATAATCAATGTAGCCTGAAACCTCCATGAAATGTGGTAACACCGGGGCAGCGACATCATGACTGAAGGAAGGGGGAACAAAAAGTAACACTTCAATCTCTCGTAATTTTCCGAGAAATTTGGAGGTTCAATTGTTTGGTTTAGCTGACAAATGTTAAGTCTTTGCAAAAATTGAACTCCGTCCACGAGGACCAAAGTAGAAAAACGCGAAATCTAAAACTTTTTTTGGGGGGGGTCTGGTGATATTTATACTCTTAGTGGTGTTTTAAATTTCAATGTCAAAGGGCAACAATCTTTCCAAAGCCAATAATCCAAAGAAATCCTCTCTGTCTAAACCACTAGAAAAACTGAACATGTCCCTGGACTCAGGGCATGGAGTTCTTTCTTTTGAATCCTGCCCATCCAAAGCATTACATCTCACTCAATCAAATCAGTTTACAGATCTACTAATTTTCATGATTCCTTTGTGAACAAACGTAAAACTCAATATGGGTACATTTCAGTTATATTATTTCCATCGACCCTGTGATTACAGTGACACTATCAGAGAAAAAACACTGTTTACGGAATCACAACAGATCCAGAGAAGCAATTATTTTCTCTAAGCCCATGGACAGTTTCCTTGTTCTCCAACCGACTGAGACAGCATCGTGGCTGACCTCGGTTTGGAGGAGAATTTTTTATTTATTTTCATTTTATTCCATCTGCAGATATTGCTGACTTAAAAACATTTGAAAAGACGATCCATCACACATCAAAACTTTCACATCGTGACCAACCTGTTTAGCACCCTGCCTGTTTTTCCATGGACCAGCTGAACGATGTCACCGTTTTTTATCTGCTTGGGGGGGTCACTGACCCCAATGAAAGAGCTTCCAGGGTTTTTAATAATCCACCAGTTATTCATGTCCTAAGTTGAGAAGGAAACACGAGAAATTATCAATCCCTTAAAGAATACAGGGGTCACCTAAATATTGCAGGTGGTTTTGCAAACCTAACTTTGTACAGAAGATGGCACTTGTATTTTTGATTTCTGGGGGTGTGGTAGCCTGGAATCTAAATGATCTAACTCCGCACAGGTTATGAGTTTTCAGATAAAAGACTGGCCTGTAATATAAAACAGAATAATAAATGTTTACATTTGCGCATATACATGCAGCGTAGTTTGGAAACAGGTCGTTTGAGGACAAAAAGACGGAGAAAAATGCTGTGAAGTGAGGAACGTTTGCAGGACAATATCCAATCTATGGACCGTGAGCCTTTAAGTGGAAACACTTTGCTCACGCCTATCCCCGAGGGGAAAATATCATGAATCGAGACATCTTTGTGAATTTTTGTGAATAGACAGGCAGTAGGGTACATTACGTTCTTTTGTCAGGCACAAAGTTGTCATTACCTTCTGCAGTCACATATGGAGGGCAAAATTTGCCAGTAAGTTTCAGTATTAAAATGGACTTTGATGTTTATTTCAAAACAGCAACCACTCCCTGGTCTCCACAATGATGCACATGAAGAACAGGTTATGGAGTGCCCAAGGAAGGCAAGAATGTCAAACCCTCAGGGAAACACTGATGGTCCCCTTGGGCCGTATGCTACATATGAGAGAGGGATGCACATACCTTGAAACCGTAGCACGTGACCTGCTGTTGACCCGAGCTGCCTCGCCCACTTTCGTACATGATGGGATAGTTCTGGGGGTGAGAGTGCAGCCAGCACATGTGGTTGTGGGTATGGCGCAGGGTGACCTGGGAGCCATAGACCACGAACAGTGGTTGACCTCTGGTTATCAGCGACAGGCCTCCCTGGGGGGGAAAAAGATGAGTTCTAACTCTAACCCTTCAAATCCTTTGGAAATCCATCAGACCATTTGATATGAGATTCAGGATTTACATCAGATCCAGGATTATAGAAGATCCAGAAAATTAAGATTGTGGCATGATGCCTCATCGTCACATTTCATTGGTTCCCTATAAAAAAATGAATGATGGTGTTGCCTGCTCATCATGTGCCTAAAGTCCATTCCACAAAAATATTGGGTTAGCTGACGGGGAGCCCAGTTTTGGGCACATAAGCTTTATACCCAAAACCGCAGTGGCGGTCTCAGCTGTCTCCCGGTCTCAGGGGTCCCTCCTGACGTAGCCAGACATATCAGCACGACACAAGCACGGTCTGATTGGTCTTCCGTGCTGAGATGTCCGCATGACTAACTCGCAAGGTACTATAAGCGGTGCTATTATCTTTGGTGTAGGCCTGTGTACAGTACATGTCACGTACAACGTGAAGCATGCATGGACTGCACTGCTCAGCATACTAAATGGACGACTTTTCCCTTGCTGTGCGCAGAGATGGCATGATGTATTTTTACCATATTTGGTAAGGGGGATCGCTGAGACAAGGAGACAGCTGGGACCGCCACATCGGGGAGCATGAAACCGGACAAAAGAGCTGGGCATTATAACAAAAGACCATACTTGGAACAAAAGACCGAGCAGCTGGAAATTGCTAACTTTTTTTTCAGTTGTCAATGGCGGGGGGAATCCGTCCTTATTTTGAGACATTATACCACAGTTTGTGGCATCTAGCATGACAAAAGCTTTTCAGCGCTCCAACGATGAGTGATACACGCTGCACGCTAATCTGGCCCCTATTTAAAAGACGCCAGTAGCGCACTGTGCCAGTTTCAGGGACAAAAGAATGTTACATAACACTGCACAATCTGGGCTCTTTTTACCAGGCAGCAGGCCTGGCTGAAATACTTGGGCATCAATAGTTGTTGTCTGTCAGATTAGAGTAATCACCAGACAGTTATTTGTGTGGGTCTTAATGTCCAGTAAATGAAACTACAATTTTCTGAAGAATTTTGAAAATGGAATATCTTGAAAATCTCCTGGTTTTACGTCATGCGACTTCAAATTCCACCCGGCAGCAAGTGGTTAAGACATAAAACAGCTATTAGCAGTGGTAAGATGTTTAAACTAAGGAAATTTACTCTGTGTTTAGAAGTCCCTAGATTAAGCTAAATTCTGACTAGTTGTGTCAATTATTTTCTTTCAGTAGGCGCTACAAAAAAGCATCATGAATACAAAAATAAGAAAATGACAGGCAATCTGGATGAACCCCTACATAAGAATGAACTCACCTCCAAGCTTGCTGAAAATGCACTTGTCATCTGGTTGTCATGGGGACCGGCCTTACTGAGCACGCTCAGATGGACATAGAAGATACCAAGGTACATCAGGAGGGGTAGGATATTCAAGAGGGACAGGCGGGCAAGAAAATGGCACAATAGAGTTTTCTGCACAGAGAAAGAACAATATCATAATGACAGAGCAAAACTGGTTACACAAATCAGCTAACGGAACAAGTAATTTGTTACATATTTCAGCGGGGAAAACACACTTGAAATACTTATCTGAAATGCAGTCCATGATTACTTTGAAATTCAAACTTTCAAAGTAAAATGCATTACAATAGATTGCCCCAGTTGAATAATATTATGCCCAGCAGGAAAAGGTGATCAGTAAAATTGACAAAAAAACAAAGGTTTTTGCTCACCAACGAAAGAGACTTGTCACCAATGAGTTGCCAGTAATCATAGGCTACTATCAGACACACAAGAGACACCATGAAGATGGAGGAATACTTGACGCTGCACAGAGATAAAAGAAAGAACACATTTTAGAATCAAACTACAAAGGTAAATACATGTGAAATATTGGTATGTTATAAATTATAACATATCTACAACTGTGACCTTCTCTGTTAGATAAGACCATCTTTCCAGTGATTTTTGTTTCAGTTTGCATTTGAAAGACCAAGCTTAGTTCGTTATTTTGATGTATCACTCATTTTTGCAAGTGATGAAATGGAAAACATGGAAAAAAAAGTGGGTGAAAAATGTTGACAATTCCCATTGATTTCCATGGTGCAAGATTCTTTTAAAGGCCAGTTACTCAACAGGGCGGGTCAAAAATGGGCTCAAAGGTTTATGAAACCACCCAAATCTAACTCTGGTGAGAAACTTGGGCCTTGCACAAGGAAAGGTAGGTGGGCCTAAGGCTACTTTTCATAATTTGCATCTGTGCGCCCCAGGTTCAAATCCACAATGGCTATCATACGGATTCAGTATTTCAATCTCATCTTTATTCTGCTGAGTTGCCCTCAAACACTTCCCTCGGGTTTTGCTCCCACCTCAAAAACTAAAAATCTTTTCACTGCTTTCTTCCTAAAAGTTTCACGAGGCTTGTGAGCTACGCTTCACTTTGGACGAATACTGGAGTTTCGGGTTATATTTTATCCATTTGTACAAACTTATCCCAGTTTGAAGAAAGAATACTTTCCTGATTTTCTGAGCGAAAGGTTAGGGTTACAGAACCTAATCTTACCTGACAGCGCACGTCATGGTTACACCCAATGACAGCATCCACAGCCACCATGAGAGACTAAAACTTTTAGACCAAAAGTGACAAGAAATATTCTCAGTTTAATTAATATCTTACAAATTAAAACATCCACATAGTCAATGAAGGAAAGCAATCTTATAAAATTCACAGCAAGAGGGCAATTTTTATTAGAGCAAAGTCAAGGCCCTTTGTTACTTTTGCATATTCCATTCTTGCAGCACAGTGGAATGTAAAATTCACATCTCCCCACCCATTTCCAAGAGCCCTGAGATGCTTTCTATCCACGTGAGTGGAGTCATATGACTGGTGAAGGACAGCCCTGGCAGTGTTCTCCATGAGGGGTTTTAGCAGGGCAGCTGCCCAAACCCAAATTTTAGACCACCCCGCCAAAATTCTCACTGCGCTGCTATTTTTTTCTATTGGATTTTCCCTAATCTCCACCGTTTTCACAGTTTATCTAAATGGAAAGAAGTTTACCATCGATGGCGAGTTCCAATCAGTTAAAAGAAAATGCCCCAGAAAAAAATCTACTTATGATGACCTCCCAATAACAATCTTGCCTTCATTTCAAATGGTTACCATGAGCAAATTTGATTTGAGGACTTGGAAGGAAGTACCCAGGATTTACCTCAGATTGCACCACAGAGCATCTACAATCCCAAATTCCCAGGGGCCCTTGAGCGGGCCCCGGACCCCACGTTGTAATGGCTTCGCGCTCCGCCCTCGAATTGTGTGCCGCCCTGCTATAATTTTAGGCTGTGGAGAACACTGCCTAGACTGAGTCAAACAGCATTTTTCCCAGTGAATAGAATGACTCCAGTAAGCCTGCCTACTGCGCACGTGGCCACTGAATGCATGCTTTCCTCCAATGTAACACTACGTGTTCCACCCGGGTGCATCATACATGCATGCACGCCCATCGGACATAAATCTGGAATACGATTGGTCAGAACACAATGTGGGACTTGATAGATCTACTGTTCTGTATCTGCAAAATGAATTTATCACCTCCAGCAGTTCAATGATCTCTCGGTGATTACGGAACAGACTGTACATAAAATGTTACGTGCAAATATCCTTCGGATGGCGGCTCATTCTGATATCGTCTGTAAAAGGGACACTGCCACGTAGGGCACTGACCTGACAATTTGCCTGAATTTTAGCAGTGACAGCAAAGCAGAGAATGTGAAAAACAACAGGATGGTGTCCAAAAGAATGAACCGCGACTGGGTGATTAGAGCATTGTCTGCAAAGAATGATAATAAAAAATTTTAAGAATGGAAGGCGGGTTAATTCACAAGCATCCCAGCTGGTTACAAATTCAGAAACAAGAAAGAAAAACAGAATACCAAACTATGAACAAAAGAGAGAAACATGCTGATGTTTCGTCAAATGGTACAACTCCAGAAAGGACCCGCTTTGTTCTGCTCATTGGTCAGGCAGTATACCCGCGTTAAAGGTTTGCCCCAAATAAGATTGAAGATGGAATGGGAGACTATGAGATGCTTGGAGGCAGCAGACAAACAGGTCCTTTTTGCCAGTTCTGGGCATGTGCGGTAGTTAGGAGCATGAGCACAACTGTGGAAAAAGAACGGTTTGTCTGCTGCCACCAAGCATCTCAAGTCTTCAATTCTTGTGAGAATCCATCCGATGGTGATGTAGATGTGGCGCGTAAAGTTTCCCTTCAATAAACTGTCGTACCTTGTGCGCTAAGTCTGTGCACTGTATGTCACTATCATGTACGCATTACTTCATGGTACATCCCAAAGAAATGTCAACGTCAGATCACCTGAGTTGCAACGGTGGCATTCAAACCCTCCTGAAGTTCTTACCAAACAATATCAGGCCGGCTGCCGACAGCGCTGTCCAGTCAGAGTAGCGCATTTCAATCAGGACAAGGTAGACCAGGGGAACCAGCAGGCTTCCACACACAGCAGGCAGGAGCCTCAAGTGCCAAATGGGCAGGTCACAAGGATATTCTGGGGGACAAAGAGATGAACTGCATGAGCGGATTTCATCGGTTTATGCACCCATTCTGGCCAATAACAGTCACCGTTTGACAAGCACCATGACGAGGAAATAAAAAATGTAAGCTCTACTTGCTCACTAGCAGATGGAGTTTAGGGCAAGATTTCAAAAGCTACAAATCAACAATATTCTGCTTACCAGATCTCTGTGCAAAGCAAGAATGAGCAGGGGAACCAGTCTCACGTTATGCACTCTACACAGTATTTTGGCTGGTAGCCGATTCTTGCTGAGTGCATATTTTCTGTGCTAAGCAACCTAATTCTGTGTTTACAGGTATATCCAATTCTGTTGTCCACAGCGCAGTCTATGTTTTGGCTCCATTGGAAATACACAAAGACGCACTGACAATAGACACAGCCGGTACATAGCCTCTTGAAGCCTGTTTCAGACAAGAATTAAGCAGTTTCCTTTATCTTACCTTTGTCCGTTTACCGACCTACTGTCCATGTTCTCCAGTTTTTGTGAACACCTATAAACCAGTTCGATATTTGACACTTAACTTGATGTTCCCCAAGCACCGGACTACAACACTTCAATATCTTACCATCTCCAATTCTCTCAAAGGGGTAGCTGGCGTTGGTACCCGCCAGGTAACTGGTACCCGCTAGTAGCAGCTTGCCCAAGGGAGGGTGGATGTCAAAGAAGAAGGTACGATGGAGGTACAAGTTGATAAACTTGCCGAAGTGAAACTCGTCAAAACTGTGCAACGTTGCAAACATCGAGAGTGAAGGAGCATAGTAGAATTACGCAGCAAACTCTTGCACTTCAAAATCTATTGTTTATTATCTGTGTATCATAAAGACTGAAACAGGACACTGAGTAGGGGAAATAAGGGGAATAAATTTGGGGAAATAAAGCCTGCACTAGTCTGTCAATGAACCTGGATGAATCCAGAACAAAGTTATTTGGGGGGGGGACCACCGAAATTTGAAGATTTCCTTACTCTCAGATTTGTCAGGTGTGAGGCTAAACTCAGGGGATTTCTATATGCTTCAGGAAAAGAGGAAATGACACATTCCCTGAACAACTGTCTCTCTCATGATCTCTTTCAAGGTTTGCTGGTAGGAGGGGATGTCCCATTTTCCCCTCCCCCCTCATCCACCAATGTCAATGAAATGCACTTGTCCTACATGTGCAAGTTTCTGTATTGCAAAGGATCATCCAGGTCACTGTAACATTTCTGTAGACCAGTCTTAAGTAGGGGATTGTAAACTCGCCCTTTAATTAATTACAGTAGTAACACTGTGCCAAGTCTTATCCATGAGAAAGTCATGTCTGGAAGTTACGGCTGAAAATAACGTGTACACCTATGAAAGCCACTGGGCCATTGCGGCTGCATCCACTGCCCACAGGTTTGTGTGTTACCCCATGCCACAACCAGTTCATTTGGACAGATGTTAACCATGTACACCTACAACAGCTGACTCTGCTGTACTGCCCTGTTTGGTGATCTTGTGCTGGGTCTGATATCAACTTACACAACTGCTCTCGGTTCTTCAAGACGCCACATTCTCAAGACGAACGATGCCAGCGTCAGCCCCAACAGGGCCAAGTTGATTTCCATCTTCATCGTGAAGACGGCTTTTTTCTCCATTCTTGTGAGTCGTTGAAAAGCACCTGATGAAACCTTTGAATTTGACCTTTAAACAACAAACATTGCATGACAATTACTAGAAGCATGCCTATCAACTCTGAAAGTAGGCCAGGTTCATACAGAATGGAGTTCTACATCCAGCTAACACAACAGATTTCCTCACACCTTGCATATTCATCACATTGGAGTCCGTTCAGCTTGGGAAAAAAATGAAATTGTCTGAGGAAGTTGTTTTCAGGTTTTGTTATTGAAACTTGTTGGTGCTCACAAAACTGGAAAATCACGGTGGCAGGATATGGAACTCATTCGACAGTAGCTTTATATCCGAGTCGTAGACTCACATCACTTGACTTGGACTCAAGTCAGACTCGAGTTGCTATTTTTGTGACTAATGACTTGAATTGTAACTATCCGTTTTTGACTTGTGACTTGACTTGCACATTTTGACCTCTTACCAATGCAAGTCAGAAAACTACTCAATCGAACCCAGTAAAGTTTTTAAATTAGGCCTATCAACTTACGCCTACTGCTCTTAGAATAATCAGCATTTAGTTCGCGACTTCTACTTCGGTCTTGTCTGCCCAAGGCCACATCCGAATCACTTGGCTGTTGCTTGAAATCACACATCACATGATTTGACTTGTACTTGGTCAAAATGACTTTAATTATGACTTGCATGTATTTGGACCAAATTGACTTGTGACTTGACTTGTGATCAAATGACTTGTGACTTGACCAAATGACTTTGGATTTGGCTCAGACTTGCAAAAATTGACTCGTGACTTGACTTGGACTTGCAAAAATTGACTTGCTAACACCTCTGTTTAACATATAGTTTGGGCATGACAAGTGGTACAGCAGATTCAGTATTATTTTACACGGAGGGGAGACGCCTTGCATTTTTATGGGGGGGGGAATCATTCATGAAATTAGTGAGAACCTGAAGATAAACTAGAGCATGTACATTTCGTTATCAGGGTGAAAATTTCTGTCTTTAAAACTAGCCAGTAATCCTAATTTTTGGACACCTCTACCCTACCTGTTTTGTGCACTCAAGTTTTAGTGCTTTAATTCATTTAAAAATAGGGCAAATAGGCCTAATTTTGATTTTGCCCCCCAACCATTCATTGACCATAAAATCTAATTATCGTCCTTTAATGACACCTTTTCATTCAAATACCTAAAACAGCACTATTTCACAGTACATTTTATTGCATTCATTTCTATGTTGCTGTAAAAAGGCCTCATGATCATTTCCCAAATCTGTCATGATTGTGGGGTCCGATCGCTCTGTGCATCCATGCTCTGTGGGAGAGGAGCGGACGCCGGACCCCACCACAGTTCTGGGGGTAGGTTGATCATTCCCTGTCGATACAAATGGAGCCCAAATGTAAAATAGGTTGAACAACATCCGACCTTTGTTAAAATACTAAGCAAACCTTGATTTGTAAAAAACACTAGGCCTTGGCCTATCTCTCACTTTCCTATCCTCCCTGCAGAAACTAGAAGTGTACTGTTGTCTTCGTCCGTGTGTACGCTCTGTAAACCACTGAGGGCGCTATGCAAACTTAACGGCGCGGCCACTTTCATAGATCAACCTATTTTTCATTGGATTTTATAAAAATGTCTGTGGCTATCTGGACGACGAACACGCCGCCTGAACTCAGCCTTAATATTGCAATCATTGATCTTATCATCACAAAGAAATATTGTGCTATATTATTCAGAGCGGTGGTTGCAAAATTAAAAAATGTGAAAAAAGGCCTAAAAACAGTGGAGGTGTAGTCGGCCCCTTGCATTTTCCCCCCATGCTCCGGACCACGCAGTATACAGCAACAATGCTTCCAGCGCAGCGAATTCAACATCGACAGCTATTTAAATTCAGTTTGAGATTTGGAACGGTGAATCGATTAACTGCCGCCATGGCTGCCTCAATAATGTTTCCGCGTTACTTCTACGGAGCGGTAAACTTTAATACAGTTCAAGCAAATCGACATATTCTTAAATGATGGGTGACGTAACCACGAAATACGTGTAGTAAAGGCGCTAGGGGCATTTAAATGACAGAGAAGTGTTTCATACTCTATTTCAAACTCAATTCCTGTTTATTCAGTTGTAATTCCGCAGATCCTAATATCAAACACATTTTTGTAGTGACGTTTTGTCCGTATTCAACCTTTTTCGGATAGGGAAAACGGGTCAAGTGGTTGCAAAAAGTTCACGCATCTCCAGCACATTATTCTACAACGCAAGCTCTTTACACCATAAATATTACAATAAAATAGTCAATTACAGTCACAAACACGGCAATTACTGTATTAAAAATATTTCACTATCCTCAGCAAATGACTGTATCGATGGCTTGCCGTTCTTAGAGTGTTACTATAAGTTAGTATCGGGTGAGGTACATGTATTTAAAATGTGGAGGAACGGAAAAAGATGGAAGTTATATTCAGACTTCACAAAAATGTGTGATGCCAACAGTGGTCAACTGCAGATAAAAATGTTCAACTTTGCAAAAATTGAGTACATTTCTACTCCAGCATGAAATGCGTGAATTCCTTGAAATGTGAACCAGCCTTTGGTGTGTTCTACCCACTTAACAAAAACTATGCCCAAAACACACACGCAATCGTCCCTTCCACTTTTCGCATTTATGAATTCTTCAAAGTTTACTCATGCTGTCTACAGCACTTACGCTGACCACTCAGAAAGTTCTTTTAATAACCTCCAAATGAATTGAATGTGTACGCAAAAGAGACAGGAAAACACAACACACCTTAAAAACCAAGGAAAGAACCACAAACCATGACAGTTTCAAATGAAATGAACATAAATCATCTTTTCCTAGCAGACCAAGGCTGGAGACTGGGTTGAAGGTGATGAACTGTACAACTGAATTTCTAGGGGGAAAATTGAAATAAAGTCTGGGAAATACGACATATTTGAAATGGTTCACATCACAATACATACAACAAACATAAAATCAATGTAAAATACCATACACGAGGCACGCGAGTATTACGGAAATGAGTAACAGCTACTGACCAAGAAGGTGGCCTGTTTTTGTGAATTATATTAATCATGGAAAATCGGAACCTTTTCTTGGGGAAGCCTAAAAATCTCACACACCAATGCCGATTAGAAACTCAATTCAATGAGTCACACTGGAATATGGAACAAAGAATTCAGATGAAATCATTAAACTACGAGGAGAAATGCTCGTCAGTTCAGTGAAAAACTTCTTGAACAATCTTGTTTTCTAAAGCTGTTGTGAGGTCATGAAAGTTGTGAAAAAATGTACCAGTTAACATGCAGTTTTGTTTTTGAATGATCCCTTAAACTAGAACACCTGTCAAGGCCGACTGCTGCAGATTATTATCAGCGGTCACAAACGCCACATTTCTAATTTTACTTTGTTCCAACTTTGTTGAAGTGACTAACCCCAGTGGATTATTTGACTGTGGCTCAAACTATTTGACTATGATTTCTAATTTCATTACGTTTCTGATCTGTTGTCTTTATTTGCCAGTATTTCCCCCCCCCCAATCTGGCCAGACGTGTCGTTCTGGTTTTAGTTGCCCTCCTTGGCGGCCAGCTTCCTCTTGAGACTCTCGGGCATCTCGGGTGGTGGTGGGCGGGGCAGCTTGAAGTACACCTTGACAGAGTCGTAGATGAACCACTGCAAGGCGGTCAGGGTACCGATCATGATGATACGAGGGAACAGACCTTTCCACAAGCCTATGGAGGATTGAAGAAAAAAAAACCAGTTTGTAAGATGTGACAATATCCCGGTTTATGCCTATTTATAAAGTTTTCACTATACCTCTGTCGGGACTTGGGCATAAAATTTCAGCATTATGTCGCCGAACTCCGAGGTGTAAATTGCTTTGGAAAGGTCAGTGAATTGAAATCCAGATTCAGTGGTCACTTTGTGATTCAACTTCAAACTCTAACACCGATACAGATGTCCCCACCACAAGCCTGGCATTGTGTGTAATCAATCGACCAGACTGCCTCGGAGGCATCCCACCCCTCCCTCCTTCCACAACTACACAGAACATGTAGAGTGAGAGGGTAGGCCCACCCCAAGGTGCGGTGGGTAGGAGGGGAGGGTTAGGTCTGCTCTGCACACCATGCACTGCCGGCTCACAGCGGAGGTATTCTACTCTCGCACACCAATGACTCAAGCACTCCTCACGGAACACAACAGGGACAGTGTTGCTGAACGGCCCTGAACAGGGAGGGAACACAGAGGGCGCTCCCCCCGCTGCCACAGGCCGTCCGAGGAGCGGATCTAAGGCAGTGTGCAGTGTAATGCAACAGAAGCATTTCGAAAAAGTCAACATCAATCTAAAACAAAGATCCTGATGTCACACCACTTCGAAAATGTTAAAAGCACGGGAGCCGGTGTAAGGCCGTGCTGTCGGGGCAATCCTTGCGTATGAGTTGATGCTCTCGACTAGAATCAATTTTCAGCATGCATTGTTGAAATATCCAATTAGCTCCATGTGAATTGACATGTGACCTGACTAGTCATTCAAGTTTGCCACAGACCCTGCAACAACCTTAAGGTTTGTCAATATGACTTTCAAATAAGTACTTGGCTTCTCTTTTTCCGTCACAACTATTAACTGAAAAATAAGAGAAGTAATTGAAAAGATGGCTTGGGGTCAAATTGTTTTGTTTGCAACTGATGATAAATTTAAAGCGTCTGTCCAGAGTTTAATTTTTGTTTAAGTCACACGAGAATGCCTCAAGGATGTTGTCATTTGACTCAATGTGGCTCAACAGTGGTTATGGAGACCACTTTGCCAAAACTTCAAAATACAAATCTTTAAATCTTTCCTTACCAGCCATGCCAAGTTTTCTGGCGGCATCCAGGGGTGTGCTGCCTTTGTCCTGGTTCAACTTGGACACCACGGTGTCGGCAGGGTGAGAGACAACAGCGCAGAAGACACCAGCTGAAAAATGAAAGGGCCGTTCGACCATTTTTAAAATCCAAGCAAAACAGAGACAAATTCAGATCGAATGGGGAGATCCGTTAATGCTAAATTTTCAAGAACCCTTCAAAATTCCCTACGTTTTGAAAAGTAGAGTGCAGTCACATGGAAACTAACAAGCCTTTGGCGTTGATAAAGAACACCTCCATTTAGAAAATAAAACTCCAACCAGGAGTCACATTAAGCTGAACTCGGAACTTTCTCCAATGACCACAAGGCAAAACTTCTCACGTACCGATGTAGCCAGCCAGGAAGGTGATGACTAGCTGTTCGGGCTTAGAACACTCCGAGCGCGGCTTGGGCACCACATACTTGTACAAGAACTCAACGGTCCGCTCAAAGCAGGCAAACTTCATCATGGTGTAGGGGATCTGCCGCAGCCAAAGAGGGGGCAGACCCTTGTAGAAGCTGCATGAACAAATAAAAACCAAAGTCAACCACTGACCAAAAAAGGAGGGATACCTTAGTTTCAACTCACAGGTGGACTCCTCCCCCCCTCTCGACCGGCTTAGCCATCATATTGTGCTTGATGTAACTCATCCATCGACCCACCCACCCAACAAACCACCCCCGACGAAAGTGAAAATCTTGGGGGGGGGGGTGTAGTGAGTTGAGGAAGGACGCCCTTACCCTCTGATGCCTTCCATGGCCCACAGCTTGGGGACACCCTCCCTCAGGGTGGACGCAAAGCCCGGCTGCGTCTGGACCCGCACCTTGACGGCCTCCATGGGTGCAAGTGCGATGTCGGCAAAGAACTCGGCGCTAGCCGAGGCAGCCAGGTACAGCGATGTCCGGTACAGGTAAGTCTTCTCTTCTCCTAGGAGCTTGCTGTAGAGTGCCTGTGATGTAGGGAAAAAAAGCACATCAGCTTGGCATAGTGGTTCTATCCTTGCCTTACTCCTCTCTGGCATGGCTTTAGTTCCCAGCCTCGTCCACCACGGATTGGGTTTTCGGTCCCTACCTGACCCCATGGGTTTTAACCTCTATATTCTCTTGAGGTTACCCTCCAACGTCTGAGACTGTCACTGCTTCTCATTCTGCTGTCTCCTTAATGAATGTCTCATCAACCCCAAGTTTTTATCAACTGCACTGGCTTGGTATTCAAATGAAAAGTGGAAAATTCTCGAGCGTTTTCTGTACTGAAGCTAAGAGAAACTTACCTTGAACACCTCATAGAAACCAAACTTGCAGAGGCCCTGCATGGAGTAGCCGATGGCGGTCGGGGCCCAGCCCTTGGCCAGTGCCCGGACACCCTCCTCTCTCACTGTTACTTTGAAGCCATTGAAGATGCCTACGTATTTCACTGGGTCGACCTAAAACCGACACAATTGTTGGACAAGTAAGCAAAAGAACCTACATGTACTTTATAAAGAGACAGTGGAATCTTCAATGCGTCCGTTCCAAACCCCTTGAGGGCCCTGCATGGCTGAGCAGCAAGAGCCAAAGGCAAATTGAGGAGAGATGGGCAGTTTAATGAGTACATTCCTCTGGCTTGGTCAACTTAATCAGGGCAGTGTTGATGTATAAGTAGGACATGGGCATATACGTACGTAACCAACACAGCCCAAAGATAGAAGCACATTTTGTTAATCCGGCTGCAAAGGAGCAAACATGTGCCCCGATCCTACCCATTCAAAGACAGGCCCAACTGACGCTATTGGCTAATCCAACTCACATATCTGGAGTTGCAGTGACCCCCCCACTCTCACATTCCAGGTTAAAGAGACACCACTCACCTGGATACGGCATTTGACAAGATCTAGAGGTACAACAGCTGTGTGGGTTATCCCACAACTGAGGATACCACCGAACCCGCATATTGCATAGTACTTGGCCGTTCCAAACTCGCAGCTGGTCTCTGAAGACAAAGAAAAAGAAAAAAAAACTGTCCCTTTTCACAACTCTGCCTGTAATTTTTGCTCATCAATCTTGGTCCACTGAGTTTGCACTAATGCTAGCACCTTTCAAAAATAATAATAATTTATTCATTTATAGAGCGCAAATGTCATATAGATATGTTTAAATGCGCTGTGCAAATGATGACATTAAGCGTAGAACAATGAATATATTCCAACGTGGTTGAGCCGATGGCATACAAGGGTGCCTCAGGCAGCCACCAAACGACCCACACTCACCGACATCAGTAACGAGGAGACAATAAGAAGCAGTTAGTTTTTAGAATGCTGCCCCCCAAAAATTCTACCATGACACCACAAAGAGTATAAATGTCAAGTAAGAATAAGAGGAAACAAATGACTTTAACCCTAACCGCCAAGCATATTGTTTGGCTTACAGTATTCAGTACTACAAAATACTAAGTAATAGCCTTAGCCTGAAGGACCTAGCGCTACAAATTACTGCTTCTGGCTAGGTTACTTCCATTGTTACTTGTACAGAGAACAATAAAGCCACGCATTCATAGTGCCAAAGCACTGTATGGTACATTGTCTATTCTATTGTATTTAATGGCTTCAGAGAACAATGTGGTCATGTCCTCTAACAAGTGGCAGCACTGATTACTACATTTTACTACAAGTAGTAATTTGTAGTATTATGTAGGGTTAGGGTTAAAATCTCTCTCTGACATCTTGCACAAAAACAAGGGAATTCACAAAGGAATTTGAAAAATGATCTGTGTCCATTGGTTGAGTGCAGAGCGTTGTGAAAATACTGCAGCAACAAACTTCATTTAGCTTGACACAATGGTTTCGCCACCATTTCTTTCTTTTTCTAAACCCCCCCCCAAAAAAACTAAAACTAACACAAAAAACTAGTTAAATGTAAGCACCGCAGTATCATAAGTTATGATAAAATCTGTGACTGTAAAGGCTTCCTTGAAAGCAATGTACAGTGTAAATAATAAATAACAGACAGTCCCAGAGAAGACAAACACGCTCACAAAAGCTACACAGAAGTGTAACGGACACTAAATGTTGTGGTGGAACTTTATCATTTGCATTTGCTGCAATGCTGTGCCAACTCAATTGGAACTATTTTTTTTTTCATAGGCGAATCACTGAAATTTCCACACAACTGAAGCACACGAGGAACTTTATGAATCAACCCAACCCCGACCAACTTCCCAGGAAGTCAGAAATTGCCCACATGGGGGAAGTGAGTCAGCGCAGGACGGCAATGATGGTGAGCCGCACGCGTGCAGAGGGTCTGAGGAGTGAGGGTGAACCAAATGTGAGACAAATTTGATTCTTCTACGATCTGTCAGGGAAAAATATTCAACTGAGGGAAAACAAGGTTACAGAAAACCAACTCTGTATGTCTGCGTAATGTGCAACAGAAGAAATGCTTAATTGTCATTTTAAAATCCCCGAAACAACAATTACTACTTATAATACACATTAATGTATTTCCACACACAATGTTCTAATTGCTTTCAAATCAACTCATACCTTGGACAACTTGTAACTTGGACAACTCGTACCTTGGACAACTTGTAACTTGGACAACTCGTACCTTGGACAACTCGTACCTTGGACAACTCGTACCTTGGACAACTCG